ACAGACAGAGTGAAAATGTTGGGGAAACCACCCATGTAAGTTCCAGAGAATGAAATCTAGTCAAGACAAAAGTAGTCAATTGCTACATAATTTGCTAGTCTGAGCACACAGATAGTGATAAATGCATGCCTGTCAAATAAATGTTTCAAATTTAATTTCAATGCTTGCAGCAAATACAGTCTACAAGAATTTCATATTCTAGTCTGCTTTGAGATTTAGATCTGATGCTGTGACATTATCATTCCATTTTTCCTGAATAGGTCATTATGTCATTTTTACACAGTCTCAGTACAAGCAAAGGCCTGGTGGGAGAAAATGTATCATTCTGATGTTATTTTTCAAGATGAAAAAATAAAGTTCAGAAAAACACACATTCATGGAAACTTCAGTTCACAGATATCTGACTGCTGCAATAAAGACCAATAGTCTATTTTGTGTTGCAGTGTCTACACTAGGGGTCAGCAGTCTCTGACATTTGGGGAGACCTTTAGACTGTTTTGATGCATACTAGCTGCATTCTTTATTGATATATATATGACAAATAGTCCATGAGGAGCACTATTCCATCCAGCACATTGGCTGGGATCTGACTAAGGGCCTCTACAGATGGGCCCTTTGGGCCATCCTGGAAGCAGGGATGGGGATGGGCAGCTGCACACCATCTGCCTCAATCCCTCCCCAAAGACATCCTGATGCCACGCGCCATTACACACAGTGTGTAACGTCAGGATGTCCTTCCGGAGCAGCCTTTTGACGTGCTGCGCTGGAAGGGGCACTAAAGAGCCATGCACCAGCTCTAAGGGCACACTTTTTGATCGCTCTGAAAGGAGTGGCATTTTGCTGCTCCTTTCTGAGGCAGCAAAAGGAAGGATTGGGGTTGAGGCATCCAGCAGCCTCTGCCTGGATCCTCTGCTTCCCAGGGCGGCCCAGGTCCGCCCGTCTGCATCCCCCCTAAGAGGTGAAACAGACTTCCCCAAAGAAGCAGCTCTGTGTCACCTTTTGTTTTCCAGACCGGGGCCACAGCAACTGCATACCATGGCCCCAATCCTTTGCTGCTCCTTTTTGGGGTGGAAAAAAGCCGCCTTTGTCACAGTAACAGCAGCTCTTCCACATTTCTTTGGTGCAGTGTGTGTAGACACTGCACCACAGTAACATTGTGACACCACCTGCTGTCTGGTTGGATGGACAAAGTGACATGATACCACTTTGGGTGTGGAATCAGGGCAGGTGGCGAGCAGTCACCACACCCCCACTCCACCCTGACACTGGCATTTTTTGCTGGCCTGTAGAGCCTTTTAATTGCATTTGGACATTTCCAGGCTACAGACCACACAGACACAACAAAGCCAACTAATACTCTTTCATCTGATACATTGCCCAGAAGGTGGCTCTGCAGAACACAAACTTTCCCTGTCCATGTAATCTACCAGTCCATTCACCACTCAACAGCATGTACATTAGTTTATCACCAGACGATATTGTAGTGGAACTAGGGCATGCAGGGTCAAATGTGCAATGAACTAGGGAATGGTGATGGGAAGAAAAAAAGTCATCTTGGCTTCTAGGGTGAGTTCCATTAATTTGTCTTTACAAATGAATGGGATTTCACTTTAGAAGCCAAGATGATTAAACTGAGGCTGCCATACCTTGGGCATATAATGAGATAACATGAGTCATTGGAAAAGAAAATCATGCTTGGTAAAGTAGAAGGAGGCAGGAAAAAAGGAAAACTGAATCACAGGTGGATTGATTCTATAGGGCCAACTATTTTAATCTATTTCAAATGCTTTGGATTTCCAAATTCAAGAGCTCAGTATTGAACAAGTCTCCCACTGAAGGCAATGCAACCTGAGAATAATTTACTTTTATTGAATCATGCCCACAGACTGCAGCATTCAGCATTTTCTGGGGTGAGAGGGGGCATGGGAAGGAGCCTCTCATTCTCCATTAAATAAGGACAGGCTAATAATCTAATATATAGTGATAATAAAATAGCATCCCATAAACCAAAATAATAGTTTTTATTCAGCAAATGATCCCAGCATCCTAAGTCAAGAAGTATAAATGTGACTTCTTTTTCAAATGAAAGCGCTGACTATTTCTGTTTACAATAACAGCTGGAGCAGCAGTTATATTTTATTTTGTGAATCCAACCCTCTTTATGGTCCCAGGTAATGAAGCACACCATTTATGTGAAATAGTTGCACTACCAGTTTTTGCATCTCTGTCATTCTAGATGATTTCATTTTAGTGAGTTTTAATTATGATTAATCTCTAACATGGTCTATAGTAGACTAAGCAATTCTTATTTGTTATTTTTATAAGACCCTGCAATGGAAGAAAATTTTAAAATGCTTGAATTCAGTCACTAATGTAGTGGTTAGTATATTCCAAGTACTTTGATATATATGTTTTGAGAGTACAATAGTGTTAGTTTTAGTTTTTTTAGTTTTAGAGATCAATATTACTTCCTCTATCTGCTTTGTGTGCATTCAATCACAAATTTATTCCATCCTGTTTTGTGCCATTTCATTTTTAAAACATTTAGATTGTGCCTATTTTGCACCAAAATGCACAGTTGTCATGCATTTCACCCTAAAAAGGCATTTGGGTACTTCTTCCTAAAACACAAAATTGGTATACATTCTTTAAAAGAATACACGTTGGATTCATGGAGATATGAAGTTCCATAGATAATTGCCTCAAAAACAAATATATCCTGGCAGGTATAAAATAGGTTGGTTCATTTAAGCATACAAACACAATAAAGTTCTACGAAATCCCAAATCAGTTCTTATTCAGATTTTCAAATATTATATTCCTCAACCATCCCTAAACCCTACTCGGTGAACATGGTCATGGCCAGCAATTATCTCTTGCTTTGAAAGGATGAGGATAATATTTGGAACTTGTGAACTCCGCTGACTAAGAGTGGAATATAAAATGCAAAATATAAGTAATAAGTTGTGGAATGATTGTTGTGATTAGAAATGTACAAAACCAAGTTGTTTTGTTTAGAGAACCTTAGGAGGCCCAGAAAGATGCCTTGAACATCCTGCATCAAACTTCAGAAACATAGCTAGATTCTTCCTGACCACCCTCTGCCCTTGGTGACAACTAAATGGCCATGGGGAGATCCCCATTGATAAAGAATTAGGCTGTATGGGATCACTGTGGACAAAGATGAGTGATACCTCTGACCATAATGACATAAATGCACATACGCAGGCATAATGTGATATAATGTCAGGAATCCTGTTAATGGCATATGCAGGTGTAAGTCAGTGGACACCTGCATTATATCTACATTCAGTTCAAGGT